GCGGAGGCCGAGAGGGAGGCCGCTGACAGCACTTCCGCGGACAGCCGCCGCAAGCTTTAGGGCCCTGAGCTCAGGTCACGACCCCAAACGCCTCCCGCCTCCTGTCAGGCCCCGGGGGCAAGACGGCCGCTCGCTGGCGGGGCCTCTGCCCACCAGGTGGCGCTGCTGCCCAGCGAGCGACCTCTCGGTCGCGAGGCGGGCGAGGCCGTTCCCAGCGGATCGCGCTGGAGCTGCAAGAGTGCAAAGGAGCGCAGTGAGGGACCCCTCGACACCCGCACGCCTCAGCCCTACTCCCAGGTCTCAGGGAGCAAGCCGGGACCTCGGGATTAGCAGCTCTGGAGGCCGAGGCCAGCCGCCAGCGCAGCGGGGCTGTGACGGCCGAGGCCAGCCGCCAGCGCAGCGGGGCTGTGACGGCCGAGGCCAGCCGCCAGCGCAGCGGGGCTGTGACGGCCGAGGCCAGCCGCCAGCGCCGCGGGGCTGTGACGGCAGGCTTCCTCTCGTCCCCACTCTGATGGGCCCCGCTTTCCAGGGCAGGGAAGGGGAAGCCTACAGCCACCCTGCTTCCAAGGTGGACAGACAGTTGGCTACACACAGAGGTCACGCCATGGGTGCCCATGCTCCAAAGGGGCCGAGTTTCCAAAAGAGGACAGCATTTAACATCTAGGTCAGTTTCTCCGGAGATACGGCACAGTGACTTTCGCACATAATGGGCACGACGTGATCCTGGAGTGGCGATAACCTGAAACACTGGTATTAGACGGACCTCAGGTGTTAACACCGTGCGCGCTCGGAGAGAGGACAGTGCTGCCCTCTGCAGGAGAGCGCGGGGACTGCAGGGAAGCCCCGCCCCCTGAGCGGTGACTCCGGACTCTCAGCCTGGGCTCCAGCCTGGGCCCTTCATTCGCCAACAGGACCCGCTGCAGATTTTCCTCCAGCTCCACGGAAAGGACTAGAAATGCAGCAACCATGTTTGAAGTCAGAGCACCCCCTCTTCCTTCACCCCACAGACCTCAATTCATTTCTCTAGAAATAAGTGCATCCTTTTTGTGGGTGCAGTAGGTGGGGTATCATTCTTCTTCATTCCTTCGAGATGAGATGGAAGGGTTATGGGGTTAACTACCGCCACGGCTTGCCTCCATTTGCTTTCATGCCCTAACCTTAGAGTGCTTTTGTAATCAGCACACAGAATTGAAAGCAAGTGTCTTCCAGGCTCTAATGGGTGGTGCTTCTGAGCACTGGAAGCTACCTGTTTAAAGAGAGAGAGATTACTTTGCTCTGTACTGTAATCTTTCGGGAACCTTCAGAAAATTTAGGTATTTAGCACTAAAAAAAAAGTACAATGTGGATTTGCCTTGTAAGACCTTGTTCTATTTCGGTTCTGCAAGACTTAGCCCATGGATATTATAGCCCAGAGTTGCCTCCAAATAGGTTTTAATATATATTTTATTTATTTGGTTGCATTGGGTCTTAGTTATACCATGTGGGATCTGACCAGGGATCGAACCTAGGCCCCCTCCACTGGGAGCACAGAGTCAGCCATTAGACCACTTGGGAAATCCCAAGTAATTTTCGAGGACAAAGACTATTTTATCAATGGAGAGAGCCCAAACAACTAAGCTTAACGTAAGGAAGAACCACATTTCCTAAGCTCCTCACCGCCACAACCAACCACTGCCTTCAGGCAGACAATTCTGTTCATCGGAACAGAATTCTGCTAACATCTGAGTGCCTCCTCGGTGCTATTTCATGAAGCTGGGCCCTGCCCATGTATTATTTAATCCTCACAGCCCTAACTTAAACAAGCTCATCATCTGTGTGGGAAGACTCGGCTCTGCAGCCCAGGGTTCCTTCCGTCCGTCCCTGCCATCCCCCATCCCCCTCTTGTCTTGCCCTCACCGGAACCAGTGGCTCAACTTCCAGGCTTTCTCTCAACCATTCGACAGTTTCAAAAACTCTCAACAATTTTTTTTTTCCTTTTTGTCTCTGTTCCAATTTTTCCTTCAATTCTGCAGTCTGGCTCTGTTTTACTAACTGAACCAAAAATTCCGTGACTCTTTCAAGACGTTTCCCACGACGGCAGTTGCCCGTGTCATTGCCCCCCCACTCCCAAACCACACCGCCTGTCACCAGATGTGCTGGCAGCGCGTCCCGGCCCTGGCTGGGCCTTCCGTGCCCGCCGTGCAGCCAGGCGCTCCCAGGAAGCCTCACACGAAGCCCCCCCGGCTACACGTCCACCCCCGCCAAGGCGCCCGGGGCACCGTCACGGGGCCTCGGGAGCGGCCGGGACACGGACAGAGCGCCAGCCACTTGGAAAACCACCGGCCAGTCTGGGAGGACGGCCTACAGCCCCGCACCTGCGTGCCTGGATGTGTCTCCGAGGGTGCTCCTACACGTGGGAACCGGGAGCCTGGGGCAAAAATGCTCGTTACCATGGCAGAGCAGTGAAAACCACCCAGATGTCTGCTTGACACCGGATGAGAAGAGGCAGTCACAGAAGCGGAGGTAAAGCGCACCCTTTCTCTAAAGCTCGAGCCAAGGAAGAAAGCACTGCGCACTGGGGAAGGAGGACGCAAAATGGAGGAGAGGACAGTGACGCTGAGAGTGGGCACCCCGCGCGAAAGGAGCGCAGGGAGGCAGCAGATGACCCCAGAGATGTTACCTCCAGAGGGGCCGCAACTGCCGCGCGCTGCGTGAGGCGCCTGCCCACCGGCTAATGGGGGAGAGGGGCCTGCAGACCACCAGGGGCGCCTGATCCTCCCAAACCCGTGGCCCGGCCCGGCGGGCACAGAGGGAGCCTGCACCATGCAGGTGATCTGTACAGTCAGACAGGCTGCTTGCGGTGGCCGGGATTCCCAGATGGTAGATAACTAGGGGATTCACTGCCCACACTACAGGGAAATAACTGGTTGACTCTTTAAAAAGGAAAAACAACAACAAATCCAAACCCGCCAGGGATGATGTCCCCCTCCCTTCACTGCTACAACATTTGCAATAAAGCACAATTCTGAAGCCATTTTTCATTTTTTTTATTGCTGTTAATTCAAGGAAAAAAGGTTGCATAAAATCCAATCTTTTCTAGAAATATAAGTGGCCTTTCCAGTACATAACATTTCAAATATCAAAGTATATGGTAAACATACAAATAAGGAGAAGGTAACATACCTCCTATATACAGTACAGTCTTTTAAATCATAAAATAAGCTCCGTAAAGTACAACTGGCAAGTGATTCACAATGCGGTCCATACAGGGCTTATCAAAACTCTCACAACTTGACTGCAGCTTAACAATTAATTTATGGTCCAAAAATACCAAATAAAATATATTTAATCAAAATAATTTCCTTTCGTTGAACTTTCTTTTTAAATTAAAGCTTTCGTCTACCCCTTCACCCCCCCTTTCTTCCCCTTTTACTCCCACCCCTGAAAGAAGGTTTCAAAATGTACATTGGTGCTATAAATATAAACTCTACCTATGAAGCTTTACAGGAAGCTTCTTACTTCAAGTGTTTCCTTTTGTCTGGCAATCTGTTAGGTTTCTGAACCAAGGCCAGATATTTAAGTTTCTCTGCTGCACACCAACGTGACCCCACAGACACACCCGCCGTCTCTGCTCTGTACTGAGGCTGGGGCACAGCACACCCAACCCCCAGGCCTCACACCTGCGGCTCAGCGCCGGGCGCTGCTTGGTGCCATGGATGGCAGCGGTCCAAACCTACACCCCGTCTTCCAGATAACCTCAGTGCACTTTAGGAAATCAAAAATTACCTGGAAGCAATTTAGTACATAGATCGGCTTTAAAAACAAACAGTCATTTTAAACAGCAGCATTAAACTTAGTGACGGGACACTGACATGATTAACACCATCTTAACACACTCAGAATTCAATCTTTCACATTATAATCAAGCATAGTGGTAAACTGTTATCAAAGTGACTTTGCTACGAGAGACAGGATGGGGAACAAATACCTGACTTTTGTAGAAACGCAGAGCTGCTGTTCAGATTGCAATAAACCGTGTACATTTAAAACACAACAGAACACTGTGACAGTTGGTGTAAGGAAAAGAAATCTTGACTTACGTGTCTTTTACACGACACAGCGGTAGACTGTGGTAGACTACATGTAAAACTGGCTGTTGGCCTTCGTTACAAACACAAACACACAGGAGACCCACACTCACACGAGTTTGTTCACTTTATGTCTCTCTGAAGCAACAGGCTAGAAACGTATGATGAGTAAAAAAGTTTCTGTTTTTAAAGAAAAAGCTATCTGCCCACTTCGTGTGTCACGTTTTCTGTTTCATATGGTTTTAGCTCTTCCTCTCTCTTCCACTCCAATTTTTATTTGGACAAGCGCTGCGTTGGTGTGTGTACGTGGAGGTGTTTTTTACATATATACACACTGCTTGGGGAATCGGATTCTCCCTTACCGTGAAGGTGAAACATTTTACCGTCGAATGATACTACGCAGTGCGGTTTAGAGTGTGGATGGTGCAGTGCCAGCCGCTCCGGCAGCCACTGTCACAAGCGGAGGTGGGATGAAAATGCGGAGATTAGGGCCAAAGTGAGATAAGCTGGGGAAGAAGCAAAGTTTTTTGTTTTTTTTTGCCCAAAACCATATGACCGTCACCAGTGTTATGAAAAAAGGTCAAATACACAGTTTCAAAGATTCAGTAAACATTGCACACAGCAAGTATTCAGTGTAAAAAAAAAAAAAGCACACATCAAGATTTTCCTTTTGATAGTTTGTTTGAAGGTTTAAATTACACATATCATACAGATAAGCCTGTTGTTGAACCAGGAGACCAGAGGCTCAAAAGCAATGCATTCTTGTTTTGGTTTGGACATCCGTACAAGAGAAATGAGAAATCTCAACTGCATAGAAATCTAGGAAACGTATAGACAAACAAACACAAACAAAACACCTTCGCTCCCCTTCCCTCCACACCCAGCCATGACTCCCCACACTTCAGTGTGTTAAGTAGGCAAGCTTTACTTGTTTCAGTCTGCAGAGTCCAACGTATCATTAGAAGGGGGGAGGGGAGGTGCGTATCTCAGTCTGTAAGTGCCTAAAAGGGGAAAGAGAACTGCTAAGTCACTGCGCACAAGGTAAGTAAGGCATCACACACTACAAGACATCACACGGGCCTGCTCCTCTGTCCAGGCAGCGCCTTCTGCACTGCCGTGACCTACAACAGTCCTTAAATGACTTTTAAAAGAGCAATATGAAGTTTGCGCTTCAAGTTCAACCTAAAGCTATCAAACTCAACATTCCCTTAAAAATTCCAAGCAAACACTCCCAATTCAAGACTCTTTTCCTGTGTTGAGATCTGGCAACGTGACAAAAGCTTCCTGTGAGCTGAAACATAAGAGTTTGAGGCCTCCACTGAATTTGGTATCCTACTTGTACTGATTTCTTTATTGTGGTGGTAACAAAAGAAAGTTCTAATGTTCTTATTCCCAAGTGAAAGTGTTAGTCGCTCAGTCACGTCTGAGTCTGCCATCCTATGGAATGAACCCTGACAGGCTCCTCTGTCCATGGGATTCTACAGGCAAGAACACTGGAGTGGGTTGCCATTCCCTTCTCCAGAGGATCCTCCTTACCCAGAGATCAAACCCGGATCTCCTGCACTGCAGGCAGATTCTTTACCCTCTGAGCCACCAAAAAAGCACAGTGCTTAAATGTTCTGTTCCTTAGAATGTGACAGCATTGGAAACTAAGGTCTGCTGGGAAAGAAGGGAGCACGCCTGAGGTCATCTGCCTGTGCACAGACAGACCCAAACAACGAAGGGTCTCCCGAGTCAGGTGACTACCACTTCCTAATTTTTCAGTATTTAAAACTTTTGCTTACTCTATGAAATGGGATTGTTGCTTTTAAAAAATAGTGCTGCTAGCAAAGAGATTCTGCGAATTCCCATTATACCCTTAAAAAGTGCCTTTCCGGTTTCCTCCTTCCCTGGCAACTGGACTCCTCTGACCTGCCCTGCGCTGCGGGGCCTGTGTCTACGCTGTCTGGCCGCCTGCACCTCTCAGCTGTCGCTGCGAGCGCAGCCTGCGGACACACACACAGCGGCTTCTGCTGCTCCCACGGAGCCGCACGCCTCCGGCCCCCTCAGAAACAAGTCCTCTGGGCGCTTTCGTGATTACCTTGTGGGCTGGCCTCCATGGACGACTGCTTGCACTCCTGCGCATAATGTCCGCTCACGCCACAGTTGTAGCATGACGCGCTCCCGCTCTTCTTGGGCGCCGCGCCGCCCGAGCCGGCCACCACGCTGTGCGGGTACACGGGGTAGAACCGGCCGAAGCCCGCCACCGGCTGCACGCCGTAGCCGGCCTGGCCGCCCAGCACCGGGTCGGGCACCAGCCCGCTGGCGTACGGGGCCTGAGGCAGGAAGAAGGGGAGCTGGCCGCCGCTGCCCTGGGGCGCCTGGCTGAGGTAGCTGCCGTTGCAGAGGGAGGGCAGGCTGAAGAAGGGCGAGACGCGGTACAGGGGCCCGGGCGCCGGCCCCGGGTAGTAGTAGCCGCCGAGCGGCAGCCCGGCCCCGCAGCCGCAGCGCCGGCCGCACGAGCCGCAGGCGCCGGCCGGAGCCAGCAGCGCGCCCGCGCCCAGGAAGGCGGCGCCGTCGCCCTGCGCCGTGCTGGGTGCGGGGCTCGCGCTGGGCGCGGGGCTCGGGGCACCCGACGGCGCGCTCGTGGCGGCTGGCCCAGGGAAGGCGGCAGACGCGGCCGCAGGGACCACCACCTTCACGCCGGCAGGCGGGGCCGCAGTCGCCGCGCCGCCCTCCAGCTGAGGCACCATTGGAGAGAGTCCCGCCGCCGGCGAGGCGGCCTTCGGGACGGGGTCCGTGGCACCGACGGGTGAGCCCGGGAAGGGCCCGGGGCCAGGGCCGAAGGCGGCGCTCGCGGAGCCCGCGCTTAGGCCCGCGGCGGGCGGCGGCGCCAGGTTCAGGGCGCAGCTCTCAGGGGGGCCCGGCGGCAGCTTCAGCCTCTGGATGGTGAGGTGCAGCGCGGGGCCACCGCCGTGAGGGAGGAAGCCAGTGGGCAGCGGCAGCGGGGCCGCCAGCAGCTCCAGCGGCTTCTCCGAGTCCCCGGCAGACGCCGCCGACCCGAGCGCGCCCACGGATGCGGGGTCCGCGGGCTCCCGGAGGGCGGAGAGCGCCACGGGGCCGGGGACCAGCATCCCGATTGTCTTGCCATCTGCAGACTTGGGCGGAGGCAGCACGACCTCCGACTTCTGGGCACCATTGTGCATGACACAGTGTAGAGTTGGCATGAAAGAAATATGCTGATACTTGGCTGAACTTAAGGGATCTTCCAAAAGGTTTGTGCTGTCGTTTCCTAAGGAAGCAATTTGAACAGGTGGCTTGACCGTGACCGTCTGGCCGACAGAACCATAACTTGTAAACCTGGTCGTCGAGGGGTTACCAGAGTCCTCGGAATTGCTGTCTGTGTCTGAGAGAAACATGTAAACAGATGTTAACACAAGCATCATCTCCTGTCCATCCTGCTAGAAATAAAATTGAAGTATACTTAAAAATATACCCTGACTTTTAAAACCAATAAATGTACCCCTCAGCTTCCTGACTACTGAGCTGACCTTTTAATTTTTGGCTTTCTATGGACTTTATTTGAAAAACAGGGAGATTCTGCAAAAGGCAAGACACTAAGGAGACAATAAAAAGATTGATGGTTGCCAGGGGTCGGGGTGGGGGTGGGGGAAGATGAGGCAGAGCACAGATCTTCAGGGCAGTGAAAACACTATGATGTAGTAACGGCAAATCCCTATCGTTACACATCTGCCCAGGGCCACTGAAGGTACACCACCAAGAGTGCACCCTTAGACGCATCACGTGTCAAAGTCAGTTTTGGGTCAAAGTCGGTGCATCCCTGGTAAACAAATGTGCCATTCTAGTGACTGATGTCGATACCGTGTGAGAAGAGGGACTACACAGGAAATTTCTGCGTCTTTCTCTGAATTTCATTGTAAATCCAAAACCGCTCTAAAAAAATTAAATCTTAAAAAAATCCTTGGACATTTGTTTGTAAGAAACAAAAGGTTAATGGAGCCTGAATGAAGCACAGTATAAACACGGACCTTTATTAATAAGGGATCAGGGATCTTTTACCCTTAATCAATTTTAGGCAATTCATTTGATTTATATGTTGTACTGCCTGCCAAGCCTGAGGTCTTCACATTTGTCTCTCATAAATTATACAATTTAAAGGAGTTCAATCAAAATTATTTAATTTAAACATCTAGAGATAGAGAAGGGAAGACAGTTTTCCTAGAGTGGAAAAGTCTTCCTTTTAAATACTTCAGTGGGAGAAAGAAAATGTAAAGCTACCATTACAGTCATAAAATAAATGCTAGAACACAAGAAGCAAGAAAAATACAAGACCACTGCTGTTTTTCCTAAAACAAAACAGCCAAGTGGCAGATACAAAACTATATCACATTTCTTTTTATTACTGTATCATTCTTATGCACTCTTATGCTTGTAAACAGAAATAAATTCAATATAGATTTCCCCTGCATTTCTTAATTTTTGGTGTAAAGGGAGCAAAATACAAGATTTAATTCACACTGTTTATCATAAACCCAGAAACTGTCATGCTATGTATGGGGACCATCCAATTACATGCAGTGCCTTATTTAACATCTTTTTGCTCACAAATATAAGCAGAATTGCCTTATGTACTTAAAATGCTTATATTTATTAAGGTAGTAACTAGCTATATTCAGCTAAGAGGCTAAAACTTTTAGAAACAATTCTAAAAACAAATCATACTATGCTTCCTGGAGAAAGGTTAAATAGAACCTATGTCGTGACAGAGTGTAAACAACAATACTATTGACTCAAAAATAATTTTTATTAGAAGAGATTCAACATATGAATAAATGGTTCTAACATAAACTCCCCTTAATAACTGAGGAGTTCCTTGTTAAACTGCAAAACAAAAAGTATTCAATTAGTAACTTACTTAAGGCATTATATCTATATCTGTACCTTCACACAAGTAAGAGTTAAAAATAATATTTAAGTTTAAAAGAAGCTGTTAACATTTTTCAGATGATCAGTTAAATTTGTAAATGGGCTTTTTTTAAATCATCTTAAGTCACAGCAAATAGCCCAATGATTTTAACTGATCTCAAATGGTTTTCTGAGCATTCATTAGAAGGACTCATCGAGTGATTCAGATATTTCAAAGTCTGAGCTGACTTTGAAAAGTGTAATGTCTTATTAACAAAACCCCATTATGACCAACAACAACAACAACAACAACAACAAAGCCACTTGCAATGTAGGAGACCCAAGTCCAACCCCTGGGTCAGGAAGATGCCCTGGAGAATGAAATGGCAACCCACTCCAGCATTCTTGCCTGGGAAACGCTATGGACAGAGGATCCTGCTGGGCCACAGGCCACGAGGGGGCAGAGAGTCAGACACGACTGCGTGACTAACAGCTTGAGTCTGCCATGTTAACAGCTGTTCGCCCATGGGCATGTGTCACCATCAGTGGCAACTGTTTAACAATACGGCTGCCTGAGGTAGCATTACCAGTTGGGACTAACAAGAGTCTGACCAAAAAACTTTATAAAGAAAAAAACTGAAGAATGAGATGTCCACAGGAAGCTCTGAAAAGCTTAGATATATCCCTGGGAATCGAGAAGGCCATGCTCATATGCAGGGCGGTAGGCCTGCCCAGTAAGGACCTAAGGTGCCTCTCAGTTCTTACTTCTGGCTGACTCTGGTTTTCATTTAAGGAGGATTTGAAGATACAGTACTCACAGAAAACAAAATGGCAGACATAAATCCTCCCTTATCATTAATTACAGTAAATTTAAATACATAAACAAGCCAGCCAAATGGCAGAGATGGGCAGAATGGCTTAAAAAAACCCATAATCCAACTATAAGGTGTCTTTAAGAGACATACTTTAGAATCAAAGACACAAACACGTTTAAAGCACAAGGATGGAAAAAGAGGTAACGTGCAAACACCCAAAAGAGAGCTAAAGTGGCTACAGTATTATCATCACATAAAACAGACTTCGAGACAAAATCTGTCATTAGAGACAAAGAAGGATGCCTATAAGGATAAAAACGGTCGATCAGGAGGGCGTAAAAATGAACATGTGCGCGTCTAGCAATGCGCGGTCTCCGTCTTTCTGCAGACTCTCCACTTCGCTATGACTCTCCTTCCTCTTTAGTGTCGTCTGCAGTGAGACGGGTTTAGAAATCAGCATTAGCAGAGACTGCTGAGTCAGTGGTCTTTAAGACACCTGTTATGCCAATTAGATTTAAAGTCAATAATGACATTCTCAGTACCATGAAAATAGTTATGTTTGACATATTTTAAGAGTGCACATTTCCCTCTGCCTCCCCCACACCCTTCCAAAGAGCAAACCTCTGTCTTTTTCTTCTTCACTTTCAAAACTCTCTCTTCCATCATGTCGGGGGCTAGAAGGAGAGCTGTAACTCTCTGAAGACGTCTCTCCACATGTGTCATGTCCAGATCCAATGTCCAAACTCACATCTGAAAAGTACATGATTTTTTTTAAAAAACAGAATAGTTCAGCTGAATAAATTTCTGAACTGAACCATCAGAAATTACAGCTGTAAATTTTTTTTTTCAGTTTTGCTGTAATTATGTAATAAAAACTGGCCATTGACCTAGGTAAAGATTCATTACTGAAACACAATTTTAACTGAAAATAATTGACAAATACATTCTTAAAACAAAGGCAGAGAAAATAGTCAATCTTATTGACTTTAAAAATGAGAATTAATGTTCTTTTTAGGGTCTGCCTAATATTTCCACATTGACCCACTTCTTAAGTCAAACAAAAACTCCTCTGAGTACACTATAAAATTCTTAAAACAAAACAAAACTCAAGAAAACAACTGACTGCCAAAAATGCCTTTCAGTTAAAATTTCCATGCCTGAATATTTGAAAAGATTAAATTGCTTCCCATGAAGTAGAGTGAGTAGCCCCTGAGTTCTAAGCAGAAATAAATGAAGGACTGGAAAAAAAAACCAAACCACCAGCAAACCACCCAGGTGGAGCGAGCTCACTGAAAAGAAGGCGAGGCATCTACTTCCCAGAATGAAATAACGCACGGCATTATTTCCTGTGCATTATATAGCTAGTAAAGATTTTAATCACTCAACTGTCATAGATTAATTTGCAATTTTCAAAGAAATAAATACATAAATCTAAATCTATAGTGAACATAATTTCCTGTTTTTGACAATCCAGGTGCTTTAGAATTGTGTGGCATCTTTGGAACTTTTATAATAAAAAAGAAATGTGATCCTCTGGACTCAGAAGGTGAGGAAGGTGAGGATGATTAACTATGCCAAAGGCTATTCCACAAACAGAGATATAAAATTCAACATTCAAAAAACTAAGATCATGGCATCCAGTCCATCACTTCGTGGCAACAATGGAAACTGTGACAGATTATTTTCTTGGGCTCCAAAATCACTGCAGATGGTGACTGCAGCCATGAAATTAAAAGATGCTTGCTCCTTGGAAGAAAAACTATGACCAACCTACAGAGCATATGAAAAAGCAGAGACATTATTTTGCCAAAAAAGGTCCATCTAATCAAAGCTATGGTTTTTCCGATATTCATGTATGGATGTGAGAGTTGGACCATAAAGAAGGCTGAGTGCCGAAGAATTGATGCTTTTGAACTGTGGTGTTGGAGAAGACTCTTGAGAGTCTCTTGGACTGAAAAGAGATCCAACCAGTCAATCCTAAAGGAAATCAGTCCTGAATGTTCTTTGGAAGGACTGATGCTGAAGCTGAAACTCTTAATACTTTGGCCACCTGATGCAAAGGACTGATTCATTACAAAAGACTCTGATGCTGGGAAAGATTGAAGGCAGGAGGAGAAGGGGACAACAGGATGAGATGGTTGGATGGCATCATTGACTTGATGAACATGAGTTTGAGCAAGCTCCGGGAGTTGGTGATGGACAGGGAAGCCTGGCGTGCTGCAGTCTGTGGGGTTGCGAAGAGTCAAACCCAACTGAGCGACAGAATTGAACTGATAAACTTTTTGACTTATTGTTTTCCCTGATTCCACTTTTTCCCCTTCTATTTGCCATGAAAGGATGAGACGGGGTCCCATGTTATTAAGACGACAAAGAGGAAAAAATTTACACAAGCCACTATTCTAATAATAAAAATCTAGTTATTAGTATTTATGGACAAAAAGAAGCTAGACAGACTTAACCATTTAGATAACATCAGACGACAGACCCACAATGAGTTATTAAAGAAAGATGAAGGTCTTTAAATCATTACAATCTAAAATAAATTGAGAGGTCAACCCCAAATTTTTGGTGCCACAATCAGCCAACAGAAGAATGGGGTGGAAGAAATATGGGTGATGCAATCAGATAAAGTTCTTAATACTGTAAGTGAGGTAAGGCATACTTCTCTTTAGTAGAGAGATTTAAAGCTTGAAATTTTAAAAGCAAATATTGTGAAAACACAGATGGTGAACGGCACCGACTGCTTCGGGGAGAAGACAACATACAGGTGGACAGGGGGGGATTTATTTTGTTCCCTTTTGTACTTTCAGAATTTTGAACTACATAAATATGTTTGACCCAAAACAGAAGTTAAATTTTAAGTTACAAACACTTCTCTCAAACTGAGTTATTTAAAAATCTGGACAATCCATGAACCAAAGGACCCAATATTTTCAGCTTCAATATTAAATAGTAATTAAATATTAAATAGTAATTAAATAGTAATAGTAAATCTACATTTACTAAATGTGTTTGTCCTGTTAAAAAATCTTAAAGGTAATTCCTCAGTATTTCAAACGGATTAATAAACAGAGGGTTTTACCTTTAACCTGCCGTCAGCAAACATCTCAGCTACACCTGACAATAGCTGTACAAAGTATTTTTTATTTATAGTTTTACTCTATACATAAATAAATATATATATACACACATATGTATCAGTGGCATATAGAGAGAACAAGATAGAGTAAGGTTTATCTTGAATTAAAAATCCTGAGGTTGTATTTTCATAATATTTGAAAATAAAGGAATTAAAAGTCTGATCGATTACCAAAAGTTCTTAACCTAGACAGCATATGTTTTCTTCTAACTTATTAGAAGAGGCAAGAATTACATGACTGACCACCTTGGTACTTGATGCAAGCCAAATGCTTTTCATATGTTGTCACATGTAAGTCTTACAATCTGGTGAGGTGGATAGTATTCTTCTTGTACAAATTTAAGAAACTTGGGGGGTGTTAAAGATGCAAACCTACACCATCTGAGATCAAAGTCCACGCACATCTCTGACAATACGAAGCCTAAGCGGAAGAAACTGTTACCAACTTTGTGGATGCAGTTCCCAGAGCATATGTGACCAGAGTGACCTTGAGGGTGGCATACACCTGACAGGAGTCTGGACTCGAGATGACCTGATTTAGCATGTGGTTTAGAAGGCAGTGCAGAGAACGAACCAGGAGGAAACAGACAGGGAGTCCCGGCAGGAGCTGTTTCTAGTCATCCACCGAGAACTCCTGTCCCCCTGGTTTCAGCAGCGCCCCCTTCTTTCAGCTGCCATCACCACGGGAATCTCAGACACTGCAGTGTTACAACATGAAAAGTTACTCCAAAGAGCTGGCCCCCCAGGTTTCTCTGCTCTCCCTGCAGTCCCAGGGACTCTCAAGAGTCCTCTCTAACACCACGGTTTGAAAGCATCAATACTTCAGTGCTCGGTCTTCTCAAGGTCCTTCTTATGGTCCAGCTCTCACATCCACACATGACCACTGGAAAAACCACAGCCTTGACTAGACAGACCTTTGTTGGCAAAGCGATGTCTCTGGTTTTTAATATGCTGTCTAGGTTTGTCACAGCTTTTCTTCCAAGGAGCAAGAGTCTTTTAATTTCATGGCTGCAGTCACTGTCTGCAGTGACTCTGGAGCCCAAAAAAAGAAAACCTGTCACCGACTCCACTTTTCCCCTTCTGTTTCCCATGAAGTGATGGGACAGGATGCCATGATCTCATGTTTCTGAATGCTGAGTTTCAAGCCAGCTTTTTCACTCCTCTCTTTCACTTTCATCTAGATGCTCTTTAGTCCCTCTTCACTTTCTGCCGTAAGAGTGGTGTCATCTGCATGTCTGAGGTTGCTGATATTTCTCCCGGCAATCTTGATTTCAGTTTGTGATTCCCATAAAGTTCCACAAAGGATGGTCATTAAAGTTTGAAAGAGTCAATAAGATTTTTTAAGATGACTTTACACAAGAGTACGGGCTTCTGCAAGGCTGGATAGACCCCTCAGGTCCTGCAGCCTCTGCTCTGGAGCATGGAGTGGCTGAAGAGGAAAGCCGTGATGAGACCGTGCCGCCAGGGGGAGGAAAGGGGGCAGGGTGTAGCTGCGACAGAGGTCCTTTCGCCTCCGAGGCCAGACCGAACTTCCTGCATTAAATATATCTGAGGTATTCACAGTAACTCAGAAATTACTACTCACATCAATGCAGGGAAAATGTGTGTGAGGCTCTGACGCCACAGCTCAACACCCACTCTAACAGGTACCCTGCTAAATATATTTAGGTGATGTGTAATTGAAAGAAAAACTCCCTTACCTTTCACAGAACCACCGTGGGTGTGCGGAAGAGCAGAGATTCGAATACCATTTATTCTACTATTCAATCTATTGTCAGTTTTCTTAATTTTCTCCCTAAGCCAAAAGTATACATGTTACCAACGCTTTTTTAACAGTCCCTAGAGAACACATTAAGTACAATACTAATAAAATTACCCTCAATTTTTTTTAATAATTAAAAAAGAATGTTTAGTAAGGTATAATGTGAATGCAAGATCCCCCTTTTCAGTGGGCAGGCCTGGAGACTCTGCCCCTCCAAACTGAACATGATACACGACAACAGCCTTATTTTTATTATGTGCATGTGTTGACTATCTAGAACTAAAAAAAAGAAGTCCAGAGTAAAAATAAAAAGAAAACTAGTGGAAAAATACTATTTATACTACATCAACTAAACAGGTCTATTATCAAATGTTGTCTTCTCTGACCAATTTCTATTACTGGAAATATTAAATTAAACCTACTTTTCTATTTGTGGTTTTCCTTTCTTCTTACTGATTGAAGATAAACTTCGCTTTTCAGTTGAATGCTACGGAAAAGAATAAAACAGTAACTGGAGCAAAGCACGGCCATACTCAAGGAGGTACCCTCTTATTATGAGACATTAAAATGACACAATCCCAGTTGTATATTCTAACACATTTTTGTTTTCAATCTTTTTTGAAGTTACCTACTTGATCCACTAACATTTGCAAAATTTCTGACAAATACTTAATCATGAGAAAAATACCTACTCTGTATTTTGCTTTTATTAATAAAACGGATGTGTTTTCTTTTTGTTACTAAAAAACCAGAACCAAGTAACTGGTATTTGCTACGGGTTTACTCGTCTTCTCATCAAGTTCAGGTCGGTAAACACACGACTGTGTCAACTCTAAGAAGAAAAGGTGCAGGCACTGAAGTAGATGCAGAAAAACTATAATCAAGTGGACCTGAAAATTGGCCATTAGTAAGTATGACTTGAATAACACAATTTCTCAAAGTATGTTTTAGTGCTTTAGTTCATAAAACACATCACAATCCCAATAAAGGTTCACATCTGGACCTGAGTGTTCGCCAGGAACATAGATCCATTTTCTAGAGAAGGTGGTTCTCTCCAGAGTGGTCCCAGTAAGCATCGCCCCTGTATTCACAGTGCCGTGGAGCCTAAACACACTGGGGCGCACTCGGTGCTCTGACTACACCAGCGCCTGAAAAGCAAGTACTTCCTGATCATGTTTGCGAGTGCTGGGAAACTGGCCCAGCAACTCATGAGGGAAGGGCCTTCTCAAAATTCACATCTCCACAGTGAGACAGTGACCAAAATGTAAATAATTCTTTCAAATAAAAAAACATGGCATAACGGTGTATCCCTAGTGAATCATTTCCGGCATCATCACAATAAAATCTATTAGTATTTCTGAGTAATAAAACTGATATACACTTCTCTTCAGGTCCCAGAGGAGCTTAGGTCATGTATATCAATTAACTTCAAAGTCTTGAAATCAAACGTTCCTTCATTTCTTCTTACCAGATACACTAGCAGACCTCACAGTGCTTACAAACTTGACTTGCATGCAGCAGCACCGCCTGATCGGCATGGAAGATGACGAGACCACCGCCATACCTGGTCAACTAAGGCCACACACTGCTCCTGGCGCTGACCGGTGGCACAGGCTGGCTTCCTCCAGTCCACAACTCCATTCTGCTCAGCATACTGCACGGGGAGCCGGTCCCCTGGGGAACAACCCGCACCGACAGTGCTAGCAAGAGAAAGAGTTCGTGCCAGTGTGAAGCTCCATCCTCAAACCCCCACCCACTCAGCATACAGTGAAGAAGCAATGGCAACCCTTTCTTCAGTACATTGGTTTTTTATAGAATGCCTTGCAATAGCTCTAAGGAAAAAAGTAAACTATGAAAATAAGCCAGTACATAGCAGTCTTACCTATTTATTAATTAATTCCTGTCTCTGAGGAGCTTGACAAAGGCAGTCTATCTCTGGACTCATTCCACGTGGCTGACAACTGGGGTACTAACCCCAATCTTGAGAAAATCGCTGTGGACTGTGTGTGTCTAAGGCAAGGGAAGGGACAGCATAATGTGACTGGAAATCAAGAGGAACGGGCCACAGAAACAGACTCAAAGAGAATCCAGAGAATTACTGAACACGGACTCTAAACTAACAGTGCTCAACACTGGTCAGGAGCTATAGGATGACAGAATTTTGGAAGAATACTGGAAAACAGAAAAAGGAGTCAAATTTAAATTCTAGAACTGTAAAATAAATTAGGCTTAGGAATCAAGATTGCTGGGAGAAATATCAATAACCTCAGATATGCAGATGACACCACCCTTATGGCAGAAAGTGAAGAGGAACTAAAAAGCCTCTTGGTGAAAGTCAAAGAGGAGAGTGAAAAAGTTGGCTTAAAGCTCAACATTCAGAAAACTAAGATCATGGCATCTGGTCCTATCACCTCATGGGAAATAGATGGGGAGACAGTGGAAACAGTGTCAGACTTTATGTTTTTGGGCTCCAAAATCACTGCAGGTGGTGACTGCAGCCATGAAATTAAAAGACGCTTACTCCTTGGAAGGAAAGTTATGACCAACCTAGTAGCATATTAAAAAGTAGAGACATTACTTTGCCAAAAAAGGTCCGTCTGGTCAAGGCTATGGTTTTTCCAGTGGTCATGTATGGATGTGAGAGTTGGGCTGTGAAGAAAGCTGAGCGCCGAAAAATTGATGCTTTTGAACTATGGTGTTGGAGAAGACTCTTGAGGGTCCCTTGGACTGCAAGGAGATCCAACCAGTCCATCCTAAAGGAGATAAGTCCTGGGTGTTCATTGGAAGGACTGATGCTGAAGCTGAAACTCTAATACTTTGGCCACCTGATGCGAAGAGTTGACTCGTTGGAAAAGACTGTGATGCTGGGAGGGATTGGGGGCAGGAGGAGAAGGGGACGACAGAGGATGAGATGGCTGGATGGCATCACCGACTCGATAGGCATGAATTTGAGTAAACTCTGGGAGCTTGTGATGGACAGGGAGGCCTGGTGTGCTGCGATTCATGGGGTCGCAAAGAGTCGGACACGACTGAGCGACTGAACTAAACTAAGATAAATTAGGAATTCAATGGATGGAAACAGATGAAGAGAATCAGTGAAGAGGAAATCTGGTCATGAGAAAACAGACTGGAGCATGGACAGGGAAAAAATGTGGCAATAAAAGAAGTCTGAGAGAGCACAGGGGATGTGGTGAACAGTCCGACCTGTGAACACCCAGGGTCACAGAAGGGGGAACAAGAACACAGGCAGAAGCAGCGCATGGGGAGAGAGAGGCTGGGCTCCTCTCAAATGAACCATCAAGCGTCAGCTTCAAGAGAGGGGACTCATTCAAAGAAAACTGCAAACTTATCACAGGGAACTGCTGAAAACCAGACAATGGGAAAATTCACACACACAGTCCAGGTTTGGAAATGCACCCTAACGTTCGGAAAGTAACAAGGTGGAGACGACAGATACCTGCAGTCTTGAGCTCGCCCTAGAAGCAGAAGCTGGGTGACACGGCAGGGCATCTGGGAAGCAGGAGCAAGGAGTGGGGCAAGTCAGACGGGAGGGGAGAAGCCAGCCTGAGGGGCTGTCACTGGGGCCGCCACGAGCTGCAGAGGCTCAAGCCCCTTGGGACCCCCACAGCTACCTCCCCAGGGGCAGGAGCTGGAGCTCCCCACCAGTGAGGGCGGAGCCCTGGGCAAACGAACTTCCAGCTCTGAGCCGGCTGGTTCCAGGGCCAAGTAGGCCCAGAGCACCTGCACGGCCCCCGGGGCGGGAGTCGGAGGTCACACAGATGATTTTAGGTGCTTTGCGGCAGAAATCAAACTGGGCTGAGAGGAGATGAAGTGAAGGACCCAAGGCACAGGCCTGGAGACAGTGATCCAGGCGCTTGGAGCGCTGACAGGAAGTAACTACCCGCCTGCAGTCCTATGTCCTATCTGTGAAATGTCTTTCAAAAAGGAAGGAGAGATGGACATTTCTTCTTGAGAAAAACAAAGTGAACTCATCACTGGCAGACAATGATGACAGGAATTTCTCAAGTGTTCTTCAGTTAGAAGGATGCTCACACATACTGGAAGGAATGAAGAACAATGGAATGGTAGTATTTAAATGATGAATGAAAAAAAGGCTTCATGAGGTTTAAAGGAGAACTAAGGTACATGATAGGTATAGTTTGTAAGCTGGGAGGAGGTAAGTGAAGCGACAGTGATGCAAGGTCCTCACATGGAAGTGGTCCGAGCACAACTGGGGTCAGACCTTCCTGAGCTGCCGATGGAGAACGAAACCTCCAGGCAACCGCGGCAAGGACAAAAACCAGAGTGTGCACAACCGTGGCAGCTAACACAGCAGAGAAGCAGGATTGAAAACCACCAGAACGCAAGGAGAGCTAGAGCTGATACAAGTAACCAGCAAACAGTGAGAGGCAGAATGGCAACTAACTATCAGGAAGTAAACATGACGTTGATTCAAAAACACAAAGTCCTTCAGGTTTTAGGAGAGAGATACCTACTTCACAAGGGGGCTTTTGCCGGCATGTTTCTTGTGGATTACGGTGTGCTGTAACACATCTAGAGTGGGGGGAAAAAAAACAATTTATTGCACCACACCCTTCTGCAAAATCCAAATAGAGGCCACAGCTGATTTACGACCGTAACAGTGTTGACAGACCACTTAGAGCACTTCCAAGCGCATGGAAAATTCCTCAAAGAAACAATTTCCCAAGACAGTCAGTGACTGAACTTTCTTAAATATCCTCTCAAACACATTCCACCTAACAGCAGATCAAATTTGTCCAAAACTACAAAAGTTGACTATGCACATTAAACTGAAAAACCACACATTGAATTTCAGGCCTTTTTTTTTTTTAGCCATTAAAACAAATGAAGTGTCTCAAATATATAAAAAAAAAACGTATTAATAAAACCAACACCCATGTACCCACCTCCTGGATATCTCTGTATTTTCCTCTTTTTATTAAGAAAGGAAACATCCTGGGAACAATTAAATGCCTCCCTCCATTGCATTCCAGTCCCTGCCCCTACAAAGGTTAGCTGAAATACTCTGGTGTATGTTTTTAACTACCCATGTGTGCATTCACAAACAGAGTGGTGCTACATGTTTGAATATACTATAAATATCCTTCATTTTAACTGCCACCTAGCGTGAACGTGCCTCAATCTATTCATGACTTTATTAACATTTGAAACGCTCAGGTAACATTCAGGGCTTTGCTGTTCCTCCACAGGCTGCCAGGATAGCCCCCGAGTCCTGCCCCCTGAGCCCATGGGCGACAATGTTCACAGAAGCAGAAATGCTGGGGAGCGGCATCAACCACCTCCAACTGCATGACAGCATCGAATTTCTGTCCAAAATACTTGCACCAATTTAAATTCCCATTGACGGTGGGTGAGAATTCCCCTTACTTCATATCCTTGATAATTCCCAAACTTGAAAATGGTTTGCCAATCTGATGGGTATGAAATCATTTCTCATTGCTTTCCTTTGCATTTTCTGGACTACTCAGGGGACTGAACCATTCAAGGTTCTTCTGTGAATTGCCTATTTTTATCTTTCCCTATGTTGTTGACCGGACTGATTTTCTCCATGATTTTTTAGAAGACTGTACAGTCTTGGTTGTAGTCTTTACCTGTAAATACCCTGCAAATGTCTGTGTGGCTTTCTGTCACATGTTAAGCTTTAATTCAGAACAGAAAGATCTCCCCTATGGTCATGCTACCCTGTCTTGTCTGGAAAGCCTTCTTGTCCCAGAGTACTAACCTTTAAAAACTCAAGTTTTATATTTTACATTAAGTTTATATATGCTACATATAATGTGCTATTCACTTGAAATGTTCTGTGCACTACAGAAGTAGGGATCTAATTATATAATTTTTCCTGACTGGAAAGCCAGCCAGTACCACTTATCATACACACTTTCCCCCCGTCTCTGAAACGCCACCTGTCACACGTCAAGTCCCCACATGTCTGTCTCTCAGTTCCTTGATCCGTGCTGGCTGGCTGTTTACCTACCCCTGCAACAATACTGGGCAGAATGACTTATCCATCCCAGCGAATCAATGTTTACCTTCTTCTTGACTTGACGCTTCCGAGCTGTCTTCTTTCAAGTGTTCTAATATCTTAGAGGTCTTCAGAGAGGATTGTAAGTTATCTGCAGGAAGTATTAAATGTCATTAACTTCTAGGGAAATTAGTATAGTGAGGTAAACAAGTGCAGTGATTCCTTTTCTCCCACAGAAGATGAGAGTTGAGAGTCAATGGTAAAGAGAACGTCTCCGGCAGTCAGGGAGGCAACAAGTGAGCAAGGGGACGTGGCACAGACCCTTGGGCTGGGAGGGGGACCCTGAACCACGCAGCCAGCTCTCCCCACAGAAGCCACAGGACTGGAGCAACTGGGTTCACATCTGCCTGCCCGTGTACCCTGGTGCAGTGTGAGGAGATGGACTGCATTAGTGCTTCTAAACATCTGTGCTATGTAAGGTTTCATTTTAGAATCTCCAGTTTCGTGCTCCTTTTATGAACGACAGTGCAGTGTGGTGACATCAGGCGGCTGCAGCAACGCACGGCACCTCCGGCTGCTGCTCTTCCTCCAGACGTGTGGCCGGCGCTCGCGGGTCAGCCCGGGCCCTCGGGGCACACTGCGCGCTGGGTCGCTTCGCCGTTCCAGACAGACCAGTGGGCTTGCATAGGTTAACGTCTTAAGTCATTCGGGTGTCTAACATCTGTTTTCTCGGATGTCAGAATGTGGAATGTTGCTATTTCAGGGAGGCGGGAGGACTGTGGAACTGTCATTTCTTAAAAGTGTGTGTGTTAGTCGCTTAGTTATGTCTGACTCTGTACAACCTCATGGACTGTAGCCCGCCAGGCTCCTCTGTCCATGAAATTCTCCAGGCAAGAATCCTAGAGTGGTTGTCATTTCCTTCTCCAGGGGATCTTCCCAACCCAGGGATCTAACCTAGGTCTCCTGCATTCCAGGCGAATGCTTTACCATCTGAGCTACTAGAGAAGCCCTTTCTTAAAGGAGTGGGTGCAAAATGAACTTTGCCAACAATATGTTCTTTGGTGAAATAACTTGAGATTTTCCACAATTTCAAAACAGGTCCTTTAATACAGTATTTTGATTTCACACAGTTTGAGATCTTAAAAATCCACCAGCCTCTTTAGCATTGCTTATGTAATTTACAAACTGCCAAACTCTCCAGATGAGTTTTCTCTTATTTATGTGTGTACTACTCACTTGAGCACATTTTCCTAGGCAGCCTGGCTAAAATCTGAATTAAAAGTTTAACTTCAGGCCTCAATGCTTCTTTAGAATTAAACAGATGCTATTTATAGATATTCATTTAAAAAATTACACTTGGTTCAGGAAGAAAGCACGGACTGTTTTGATGTTACTGGCAAAATATTTGTTAGAAAAGGCAGCTGAGATAGATGTGTACAAAACTAAATGCAAAGCAGACTGTGATCAATGCTGAAACATGAGGGCAAAACCAAACCACAGAAACATACAGGAAAGCTAGGAAATATCCTTGTGAGGTGGTTATTTCAGTTGGGTCCTAAAAAACAGGTGTGATCTTAACAGACTGTGACAAAAGGGTGCAAAAGAGCAAGGCCCTGGAATAGGAAATGGTCAGGTGTACTGAGTGGCTGCCAAGCCTTTAAACCGGGGAGAGGCGGCTCAAGGATGCTCATGAGAGGGCCTGAGCCTCACAGCAGATGTTTAATGCTCTGAATAGAGGGTGGACGGAAGCTCCAATACTCTGGCCACCTGATGTGAAGAGCTGACTCATGGAAAAGACCCTGATGCTTCGAAAGATTGAAGGCAGGAGGAGAAGGGGGCAACAGAGGATGAGATGGTTAGACAGCATCGCTGACTCAACGGACATGAATTTGAGCAAACTCCAGAAGAGAGTGAAAGACAGGGGAGCCTCATGTGCTGCAGTCCATGGTGTCACAGAGTTGGACACAACTTAATGACTGAACAACAACAAGAGGGTTAACAAACTGATCCCCAAGATAATCCTGGGGCAGGTTACAATAGAGTGAGAAACTAGAATTGGAGAGAAGTGAGGCTTGGTACAGTCTATGCGTGAAAATAAGGCCTGGCAGTGGGGCTGGTGAAAAGGGCAAGAAGGAAGATGTCCTGTCTGCGGGCTTGGTCTTTAAATGACTGGACATGAAGGGGAAATGTGAAGACGATAAGGCCAGAGCTTCCGGCCTGAAGGCTGGGGAGGTCCTTATGGGAACAGGGGCAGAGATCAGAGCTTATCCATCATCCAGGCTGCACTAGAGTGTCTCTGCAACCTGTGAGTCAGGTCTGTCAGTGGGCCTGAGGATCCAGAAGGCCCACGAGTTTGAGATACCTGGCCCCTGTTTCGTGATGTCAGCATTTTTTTCTTTTAAAATTTTCATTACAGTACCGCTGATTTAGCTATTAGTTTCCCCTGTAAGCACAGTGAATCAGTTATAAATCTCCACTCTTTCATAGATGTTTTTCACATACGGGTCATTACTGTTTTGTGACATTAGCTTTTATAAGTTACTTTCCTTAAAACTGCAGTGAAAATTGACTAAAAACTACCAATGTTTCTAATTTGTATGCTACTTGACCTTAACTAAAACGACAATCCCATATACAAGATGGCGTGGTAAAGCAAGAAATCCAGGCCAGAAAAATGTCAGATTTCGACGGAGGAGTGGAGACACTTACTGAGGCTGTGTAGAGGGTCAGATGATAAGGACTGAAAAAAGCTGTGTACTTTCTGACTCTGTAGAAAAGCTTGTGATGAAGTTGAAAATAGCTGCCTGCATGTAAAAAGAAAATAGATTGGTTAATTTCATGCAATAAACCCACAAGATAGGTGAGATGGTAAACAAACCACGTGGCAGTTTAATTCAGGTGCAAAAAACTGTTTTCCTAAAGAAGAGAATATTTGTTCGCTAATGTATTTCCCACAGGAGAAAATGAATAAAAGACTTATTTACAAGAATCTAATAAACAGGCTTATTTTCAATTTTATATAATCTAGTGATAAAGTTTCAATTCTGACCCAACATGTGTTATTAACAATCACCTTTCTGCTCAGAAAAACAACTGCAGGTTCTTTACCGTTCTTCACAGGTGTTACTTTTCACCATTCGGCTGCACCGTGAAGGAACCGTCCCACTCCCTAAAGATACAGAGACTGGGAAGTTTCGACGCAGGAGTTCTGGAAACTCAAGACGCTGCCAGGTTAGCTACAAGGACTGCTGCAGACTAAGGCTTGTGTGGCTGATGAGTCACCCCAGTATGCATCACACCATGAGTCTAAGCTGTTATCTTTAAGAACAGCTTTCCTCCTGTTGTATTAATGTCATTAGGGGATTCCAAGTAGAGGTCTTCCCTACAAAAGGGGCAGAGTTACAGCACAGTCTGATGGAAGTTTACTTGGGATGTGAACACCAGCTTAATCACTTACAAGCTGAGTCACCCTAAACAAGGCATGTGGCCTTTCAGCTCCAAATTCCTCTTAGGAAATATCAACATTTTTCAAGGTTATGATACTCAAATAGTACACACACATTAAACTGTCACCCCGCTCAACATACAAATCTCTTTTCATTGCTTTTGAATACTTTTAAGTGCTCATTCAAAAATTTAGTTCTTAATGTCTCCCCAAGGTTTCAGACCTACCATTCCAATTAGTTCTAAAATCATCAATTGTATCAAGAGATGACCCTTACGGACCAAAGTTTCCTTGTGCATTAGACAAAACTTCTTGGAACTCATAACGTGGAGGTAAACATGCAACAGGAAGACAAGGGGGGAAATGGAAAGATGGATGAGAAACAGATGCAAAGTATGGAGCTCACCTAAATTTCCAGGCCTGAACACACTACCGAAGAATGGGGATTAAAATCCAACGGCTTCTGTTTATCCAGTTATGTTTACAAACCAACTAATTGGTCGGAAGTACAGGGATATCCAGTACAAGACAGAGGCTTGTAATCAGCATACAGGCTCCTCAGAGTCACTGCTGCAGGGCCCCGAGAGAGCAATTACACCCAAACAGGACACAAAGTGGCCATCAACTACTCATGCAATTAAGTAAGAAAAACAAAATTGCATTTTGACATGACTGACGTCATCCAACCCCAAAGGCACGTTTCCGTACCATACCTTCATCTTCCTAATCCCCAGTGCAGGCGGGAGGGAACGCAGACACCAGGTCCTGTACTGGTCCATCCCCGCCTCACTTACACACTCATGTCCTCCCTCTTTACACACTCCCCTCCCTCCCTCACTCATTTCCTCCCTCTTTACACACTCCCCTCCCTCGCTCACTCACTCACTTCCTCCCTCTTTACACACTCCCCTCCCTCACTCACACACTCACTTCCTCCCTCTTTACACACTCCCCTCCCTCACTCACTCAATTTCCTCCCTCTTTACACACTCCCCTCCCTCGCTCACTCATTTCCTCCCTCTTTACACACTCCCCTCCCTCGCTCACTCATTTCCTCCCTCTTTACACACTCCCCTCCCTCACTCACTCAATTTCCTCCCTCTTTACACACTCCCCTCCCTCACTCACTCAATTTCCTCCCTCTTTACACACTCCCCTCCCTCGCTCACTCATTTCCTCCCTCTTTACACACTCCCCTCCCTCACTCACTCAATTTCCTCCCTCTTTACACACTCCCCTCCCTCGCTCACTCATTTCCTCCCTCTTTACACACTCCCCTCGCTCACTCACTCATTTCTTCCCTCTTTACACACTCCCCTCCCCTGCTCGCTCACTCATTTCCTCCCTCTTTACACACACTCCCCTCCCTCGCTCACTCACTCATTTCTTCCCTCTTTACACACTCCCCTCCCTCGCTCACACACTCACTTCCTCCCTCTTTACACACTCCCCTCCCTCACTCACTCATTTCCTCCCTCTTTACACACTCCCCTCCCTCGCTCACACACTCACTTCCTCCCTCTTTACACACTCCCCTCCCTCACTCACTCATTTCCTCCCTCTTTACACACTCCCCTCCCTCACTCACTCATTTCCTCCCTCTTTACACACTTCCCTCCCTCGCTCGCTCACTCATTTCCTCCCTCTTTACACACTCCCCTCCCTCGCTCACTCACTCAATTTCCTCCCTCTTTACACACTTCCCTCCCTCGCTCACTCACTCATTTCATCCCTCTTTACACACTCCCCTCCCTTGCTCGCTCACTCATTTCCTCCCTCTTTACACACTCCCCTCCCTCGCTCGCTCACTCATTTCCTCCCTCTTTACACACTCCCCTCCCTCGCTCACTCACTCATTTCCTCCCTCTTTACACACTTCCCTCCCTCGCTCACTCACTCACTTCCTCCCTCTTTACACACTCCCCTCCCTCACTCACACACTCACTTCCTCCCTCTTTACACACTCCCCTCCCTCGCTCACTCACTCATTTCATCCCTCTTTACACACTCCCCTCCCTCGCTCACACACTCACTTCCTCCCTCTTTACACACTCCCCTCCCTCGCTCACACACTCACTTCCTCCCTCTTTACACACTCCCCTCCCTCGCTCACACACTCACTTCCTCCCTCTTTACACACTCCCCTCCCTCGCTCACACACTCACTTCCTCCCTCTTTACACACTCCCCTCCCTCACTCGCTCATTTCATCCCTCTTTACACACTCCCCTCCCTCGCTCACTCACTCACTTCATCCCTCTTTACACACTCCCCTCCCTCGCTCACACACTCACTTCCTCCCTCTTTACACACTCCCCTCCCTCGCTCACACACTCATTTCCTCCCTCTTTCGTCTTCCCCCTCCTTTACAGCTGCTGCATTTCTTAACGGCAGGAGTGACAGTGACACTGACCTAAAACCCACAAACTGGGAATCAGTGTCCGGAATCCAATTTATGGTGCTGAGACCACAGCCTAGCCACACAGAACAATCAGGGGTGTTTTTAAAGGCAAGTATAAGAAAAAGTCACTTCTTTAACATAACTTTTGCAGAGACGTCGCCCCAGTCCTCAGCCCCGTCTGGCCACGAGCTGCCTGCGGCACGCTGAGCCGTGCAGACCTCACCCCAGGAGCGCACAGTGGGCAGACCTCACCCCCGGAGTGCGTGCGCAGACCTCACCTCAGGACGGGCTCCAGGTCAGGGTGCCGCCGCTCCTCCCTCTTCAGCGAGCCCTGATTCAGGGCTCGGAGGATGGTCTTGTCAAAAGTCTCCGAGGACAACTCCTTGGGAAGCTACAAAAGAAAAGCCGCACGGCCAGTGTCACGTCTCTCACTCAATGGCAAACAGGTCACAAACCAGGGGCATAAAAGGAAGGTAAGTGCATCCTGCTCAGAAATCACCCCAAAGCCATTCCTTTTCTAAACCTTCCCGACACAGGGACGCAGCCTGGGGCAGCCACTGTGCTCAGCGGGGTGGCGGGGCCCCCGGGGCGCCCCATGGCGGGAGGGGGTGCCCCCCCACCCAGCGCTCACCCTGCTGCAGGCCACCAGGCGCCTCTCCTGCTGCAGGTCACCCACAGCGAGGCGCTTCAGTTAAATGGAGCATTTCCCAGAGCTCAAATAGCATTCTGCAAAGTGTGACCTGTCTTGGTAGTTACCACTTCTGTGCCTCCTGTTTCACGGGTCAGACTGCCAAAGCTACACTCCCAGTGAAGAGCTGGGTGGGAACGACAGGGCAAAACCCCGAGTTTTACACAAACAGTCCCCACCTCTGGGGCCCCAGCTCAGCGTGCTAGAAGCTCTTCTTTAAAAACATTGAGGCCTGATGGATAACCATCTACAAAACCTCATGACAATTTAAGTTTTTGTAACTCTTCTCACAAATTTGTTCATTCGTGCAGTCAACGCACAGTTCAAACTCCGAGTGTGTCTGGCTGTGGATGCAGCACTGAGGAAGAGACCTACAGCTGGCCTCCATGCAGCTGCCTTTCTGCGGAGGAACAACATAGGTGCCGGACACTGCTGCCAGAGAGCAGCAGGGGAGGGGGCCAGGGTGTAGACCCTGGGGCCACTGAAACGGAAAAGGGACTGGAAGGGCCGGCCTCACTCTTGCACATTTCAGCAAACTCTAAGTGCTGCCCATCAGCCTCCGTAAAACTTAGTGTGTGTTAGGGAGCCCAGGTTGCAAAGGGGACCGTTTTCACTCTTACATTTTGCAGATAATTTTAAAAGGAAGGTAAACAGGGAAAAAAAAGACATATGGTAAACTTGAAAGGATATTTTATAATAGGAAATTCATTCCTAGAAGTACACTATGTTGCCACTTATTTCATATAACTTGATAAGGCGCTGGTCTTACAGAAAAAAACACTATATTCAAATGTGGGCTAAATAGGGGATCATTAATTACTGAGATTCTGAAGGATAAGTTATCTATTTGGGACAAATAATTATATATATATATATATATATAAAGTGTATATATATATATATATATATAAAGTGTATATATATATATATATATATATATATATATATATATATATACTTAAAAAAAAAATCTAACTTTTAGAGAAGTTCTATGACTAAAAAATGAAATCTATCAAGAAAAAGAACAGTCAAAGCTTAGGAAACCCAGAGGAGAGACCCTGCTGGGTGCTGGGCACACAGCCACCAACAACATACATCTCAGCAAGAGCTACGAATAATAAGGTTCCCTTTTTTTTTTTTAATGTGGAAAGCCTTCAATTCCTTATATTAGCAATACACCATAAGAAAATCTATACTTAGAATAATACATTTTCTACAGCTAATGTTCATGAAGAGTTGTAAGTCAACCTCTACATACATGTTTTAATATTCCTGGTGTTTGATGCTAAAGGTTCTGGATTCTGTGTCATTAAATCAAAATCACTTTAACAATAAAATCTGTATTTTTACCTTCAGTAGAAATTCCTGTAGTTCTTGGTGGGTTTTTGTTACTGTTGTGACTGAAAGATCAGACCAATTTACCTGAATTAAAAAGAAAAAAAAACAACAACAACACATACTATACAGTTATTTCTCAGGCAAGAACTGACTGGAAAAAAAGCCATGTGTAAAACAGTTGACCTTACTTAAACTTTATCAAGATCAACAAATTAGAAATATAAAGTTAATCTGTTATTATCATAATTTCTTCAAAATTGTTAAAATTAACTGTATATTGACATGTTACTTAAAAATTTTAGTAACTCCTTTCAAATTGCATGGTTTTCAAAACAAGCTGTCTTCTATAAATGTGACTACATTTTAGTAATTTTTCAGAATGGGAATGTCTTACATTCCTTTTGGAGAAGTTGTAGGACTCTAAAATGACACTTGGACAGTACAGATCTAAGACAAAGGGAAAGAAAAATTTTATCTCCTGAAACTTATTAAATACACATTCTAAGAGAAATACCGGGTTCACTGCCCCTCTTTGGTAGTACTGTATTGTACTTTTATGGGAATTTATAGTTTAGGGAAAGATTTCATTATCTTTATCTTAATGCTTTAAAGTCCCATTAAGGTGGATGAGGCAGAAATGACTACTTCCATTTGCAGATGGAGAAACTAAAACTCAAAAAGGCTAACTGACAGATTTGAACTCTAAGCAAGCAGAAGAGCCAGAACTAAAATCAATCACCCCCCTACTTCTTGGATACTCTTAGTTCAGTGAACTCAATGATGGCCCACTAATAATTTCTACTTTACGATGATCTAAGCTGAGTATAAACACTTGAACGATGCAACACATTAGCCTTAGCAACTACTCATGCCACAATTAACCAAATACGTAACAATGCACTCAAAATTTTACCCAGCAACCCTCACACAAATATCCTTATTAACAGGGCACAACTTTTTAATGACTTCTAACTATTCAAATGGTCGTTGAGCAGCTACTTGTGTCAGATACTGTTCTTATGAAAGGATACGGAGGGGACAAGACAGCGAAGTCTCTGCAGGCTGAGGTCAGAGCCCAGGGCAGGAGTCAGGCCAGAGCCCATGAGCAGAGAGAGTTCCGTCAGTGACCAGGGCTCCACAGATGCACTGGGCACGGAGCAGGGGCTGCAAGCAGCACATGAGACAGGTGCCAAGAGTGACCTTGGCGGGGGGGCCTCAATCTGGGGCCTAAGTCTGTAGGCAGAGGGATGGTTCAGAGCCAGAGAACATGAAGGCCTTAAGGAAGAGCTCCAGCAACGAAAGGAAAGCTGGACTAGCTGAGTGAAGAGCGCAGAATGGCTGGCGTCAAATGTTACAAAATGTAGATGAGATGTGGAGATGAGGACTTAAAATCTGAAAATTGAGGATACTTCTACAGAAGGCAGAAGCTGGTCCCAAAACCTATTCAACAAAACTAGGCAAGTCAGACATGGTGAGATGCAGAGGATGATGATTCCTGCTCTCTCGGAGATGACAGCCTTCTGGAAAGAAATACCATGTAACCCAAGCACAAGAACCTGGGAAAGGGGTGATGGCGGTACACCCAGGATGAAGGAGACCTTCTGCTGGAGGATCAGAAGTGACTTCACGAGGAAGGACCGCTGACGTCTGGCAGGCAGATCCTCCAGAAGGAAGTGAGGGGCGGGTGCACAGAGACGGCCTCCCCGCTGCAGCTCCAGCGCAGGCGGCCGCTCCTCAAGAGCAGGGCTGGCCGGTGCAGCCGGCAGGAGGAGGGAGACATGGACGAGGGTCCACTGCACAGGCCACAGGCAAAGAGGAGCCGCGGGGACCGACAGCGCTGAGCTCTGCGCTCAGTCAGATCCTGTGGGGCCGACAGGAGGACAGCAGGGCAACTAGAGACCACCCCAGGCAACAAGGGCCCGGAAACAGCAGACCCGGAGGAAGAGGAGAGACACCCGAAGATGACGCCCGTCATCCTGACGCTCAAAACTGCTCACTCTTCACTTTCACTTTCTGAAGACTTTCTTAGGCCTTAAATCTAAGGCTCTTATTTCTTTTTAATAACACTGTCAGAGTAATCTTCATGTGACACATCTTTAAAAACTGGGCAACCATGCAGCATATCCTGAGAAAAGCACATTCCCTTAGTTCAGACAAACACAGACATGTGTACTGCTTTTCTTAAGTTAGCAAACCTGCCATTTAGCTTTTCCAAAGAGCAATTTTCATTCCTTCCAAAAGATCATTGAACACAGTGTGAGGTATCTTTTTTGGGTGAGAGTAGCTTACTTTGAAGGTGTACTCCCAATATTTGTCAGCCCTTTTTCTCTGGACTCCTTTCAACATTATCTTCTCAATGTGTACAGCTGAAAGAAAGAAAACATGCTGACTTGTTCTACAGAGACTAGATACACATTTCAGTTATTCAACCTGACACAGCCAAATGGTTAAGCTATTTATCTTCATCTTTACTACTAGCCTTAATCACGGAATAAAACCAAAAAACCCAGAAGCACAGCAATGTGCTGTCCATCCATCAAGTAATTTCTTTCTACATCTACAAGTATGTTGAGTGCCTAAAGTCGTTTCAAGCACTCTGCTAAGCACCAAAGATAAATAATAATAGGTGCCTGCAGTGAAGATTGCTTGTTTAGAGGAATTTTCAAAACTGTTAATTCAAATTACCACAAATACAGCACTTTAGAGTCTTTCGGTTATTTAGGCAGATTAGGTATAAACTAGAAAAAAATTTTTAAATGGGGTGGGGAACTCTTCAAAAGTAATAGGAAAGTGATAAAGACTTCTTTCCAATTCAGAATTTAAAAACTGTTTCCCTCAAGTGTGACCCTTAATATCATACAATGGTAACACAAACTTAACATTGTAATGAATTATGATGGTTCACTGTAGTAAAACATCTCACAATTTATTATACAATAGTGGTCATAAATTACACTGGTGGCTTAAGAACAATTACAGTGAATTGAACTAGATGAGATGATCAGCTCACTCATGAAGTAAGCCAAAGTGCAAATCCCCAAAGTCCTCATTTCATACATCCTTCAGTAGAAGTTACCACCTTAGCAAGTACATCTCTTTACAAAGTGAGAAAAGCCAGTCTACTAAGCATAATATAAGGACTTGAGAAAAAAAAGTTTTGTTGCTCAGGGTATAAGTAGAAGAAATCATAATGAAGATGATAAAGGTCACAGGGAAGAAGTTAGGAAAGTGACTCAACACAAGGTCACTGCTGGAGTCACAGGGGACAGGAGATGGAAAAGAAAAGGGAAGGACTCACTTTGCCTTAAAGGAAGAAGTTAAAACAGGTGAAGTAGAATATACAAAGGAACAAAAGTGTGCAGGAAGAAGTAAGATTGCTATAGATCACAGAAGGTGGGCAATGAGAAAGCAGGAATCATAAGATTACAGAAATATGCTGGTAAACAGACACCAGGAGACACCATTACCAGAATTTTGTGTTAACTTTCCAATTGTCTAGTGTTTGGTGGCCTGCTTCTGGGCCAGTTTCCCGTGGTGGATGAGAATGTTGAGGATGGAGATGAACTCACCACAGAAGCCGGGTGGGGTGAGAAGCCTGCAGTGGCTCAGAACTGCTGCACGTGTCCAAGGCCGGGGCGGGGGGGGGGGGGGGGGAGGGACTGCTGTTTCCAAAAGCTGCTCTATTCAATTATGTGAAGGATGGTGCTATTAAATAAAAATGATCTGAACTAATCAATGTTCCGAAATATGAAGCAGCTCCACTTCTGAAAACAGGCTGAGAGAGGGGACCACAGGGCAGTGTGGGCACAGGAATGTGGCTATGGCTTTGCCTCGATTTCACTTCTACCTGCTGTGATCTATCAGAATCAAGATGAGGAAAGCAGAGGGCACGGGGTGAGGAATGGCTGATAATGGGAGGCCCTGCAACTCTCAAATTAAAGAACTGCAGAGCATGGACTGTGGACATTTATTTAAAAGTTAAAGATATAGGAAAAACCATCTATAAGTACAACCTTACAGTTAATTATTATCATTTTGATGTATTCTTTTTATTTTATCTTAAAAAAAAAAAACACCACAACGGATCTTCACTGTAAACCCAAACTCTGCTTCAGGTGACTGCAGGCTCACTGAGCCCAGCTGAAGCAGACCAGGCAGGATTCCAGATTATGGTTCAAGATTCAGTAATCCTGAACAGAAGCAGCAGTCATGTAAATGTTTTCTAAACCTTAAACATTCACACCTGTTTTTACTCTGTGAAGAAAAATGCATTACATGAAAAGATTATCCGAACTAAAAGCAAACAGAATGACATCAATTCAAAGCTGTTATAACTGGGTGTGATGCCCACCACATCTCTCACCCTTCCCAAACTGTCCCTCGGCAGGTTACGGGCCCCAGACGTAAGGGAAGAGAACGTGGGCACCCACTTCTCGTCGGGGGCCACGTCTTTTCACTCTGCCACCCAGACACCCTGAAAACTGCATCGCCACAGGAAGCATATGCCTGTGAGCAATCTCTTCTGACAGCGCACTTCAGTAAAATTAACTTTTCCGGTAGACCTCGAGCACATTCTACAGCTAAAGCACCGTACTAATACTTTGGGGGGAGGTTAAAGTCTTTGCCCCCCAGAGGTATGTAGCCAGATTTAAGACAAGGGCCCCTAAGGCAGAACCGATAAACGTGGACTGGGGCGGGCCAGGGGCTGCGCAGTCGGAGCCCAGACGCAGACTCAACGAAGCCAGAGGACCAGCATCTGAGCCACACCCAGGACCCACAGAGCTCTGTACTCCACAAAGGGGCAAGGGGGCGAGTTAGCCAGTGTCAGTAAGCACTCTGCAATCTTCTTGTGTACAGATGGTTTAAAGTTTAGGAAAAATACAACATACCTTCTCGCTGGGTTCTGTGAGGTGCCACAGTGAGTCCATCATGAGGTATTGGGGCTTGTTCTATTAAACCAGCCTCGGGACTTTGCATATAGTCACCATGAGACAAGTCATTCTAGAGGAGAGAGGGGGGTCACAGGTTAGTCTGCATCTGAGACTAAGAACAATGAATGCCGCAAAGACAAGCTAGATTAAAGTGATACTTTTAACAGCAGTAATTTCAACAGCAATTTTAGAGATAAAATAGGTGATTACACATTAAGAGCAGAAAGGCACAGTGCCAGACTTGGAAAAGAGATGGTAATATTTATCTTCACTTAACGGCAATATTCTACAAATTATTTAGTTGTCCCAGTTTGGGGGGCACACAGAGCATACTGCTATTCAGAATCGCCAGTGATGTCAATTCCGTACCCAAGTGAGCCATGATCACATGTAAAAGGATGGTACCCTTTATGCTAGTCCCCAGATGTAAGGGCATCTGTATTTTTTATGTTTTTACGCAATTTTTTATTCACTACTTGGTCTTAGTGATAGTCCAACAAGATGCTTTGTTAGGGAAAAAAATTTTTAAGGCTATCATCAGTCCACAATCTAAACAAGAATGTGTGTGGACAATGAGTTTACTGTTAATACTAAACCATCTAATATCAACTAGGTGCTCTACCATTAGTGAACTAGAGTAAGTTTTATCCCTAGAAATGCTACTTGGAGTCATGAAGAGCTTGTCAATCTTACACATGGCTCTCAGAATTCAAACACCGTCATGGATTGGGTTGGCCAGAAAGTTCAATTTTTCTGTTAAGATGTTATGGAAAAATATGAAGGAACCTTTTGACCAACCCAATATATTGTTACTATAACCCACTGGGTAAGCCAAAAATTAAAATAGCTTTATAATGGATCTATATCAGAATTCATGCCTTATCCTCCCCTTCATGTTCAGAATCTCAAAACACTATTCAGACCAAAATTATCTCAGTTATAGGAGCTAATTATAATATTACAAATCTGCAATAAATAATATACATTAATTTTTTAATTATATAAAAATGAAGTAAACAGAAGACCTTAAACTTTCCAAGAATTCTAATTTAAAATATTCTGCTCTGTAGTCTGACCACGCATCCCGGCCTGTCAGTGAGTGTGCGCTGTCAGTTGACGGCTCTATTCCTAGAATAGGGCATCATAACAGATCGCCTTGGGAACTAAGCTTCAGCCTCATGGTGTGTTGTCTTCTAAAAACCCAAGGAAATAAACACTGTCTACAGAGAAACACTTAAGAAGAAGGAGAACATCGACCTCTTAAGTCAGCACCCAACTTTTGAATGGCACTCACCAACTTTCAATATTATTGAATAAAAAAAAATGCAGACATAAGAATTCTTCTAACAATAACAGAATCATGTATTTCCTAACCCAAACCATATAATCATTTACTACAAAGTAATACAACCACATTGGCCTAAAACTGCTATAAATACTTCAAAAATCAATATAAATAAAGCACTGTAATCTTCTTAAATACTTGTGTTAATTGGAAGTTTAGCTGAATGGGTCAACCATTTCTTAAAGAGTATATTCCATATTGTTCATATGTGGTTCATAAATAAAAAATAACACCATTAAAAATAAATGAATGCAAAACTATATAAGAAAAAACAGTTTTCATTAGGGAAGTGCAAAGCACAACTACAATGAGATACCACTTCATACCCATCAGAAAGGCTACTATCCAAAAAACAGACAACAAGTAATGGTGAATACGGGGAGAAATTGGAGCCCTTGTGCCTTGCTGGTAGGAATGTATACAGCGCAGCTATAGCAAAAGTTACTAAAAAAAAAAAAAAAGAAAAACAAAATCATCGTATGATCCAGCAATTCCACTCCTAGCCATATACCCAGAAGAACTGAAAGCAGACACCCAAGCAGGTAATTAGTACTCCAGTGTTCACCGCAGCCGAAAGGTGGACTATTCAAAAGTCCACGGATGAACAAACAAACAAAACAAGATATACGTACAACTGAGTATTACTCAGCCTTAGGAAGGCATAAAATTGACACATGGGTGAATCTTGAGGGCATTATGCTAAGTGAAATAAGCCAGGCACAAAAGGGCAGACTCTGTATGATTCCACTTATATGCGGTACCCTAGAGTAGTCAAATGGCAACCCACTGCAGTGTTCTCGCCTGGAGAATCCCAGGGATGGCGGAGCCTGGTGGGCTGCCGTCTATGGGGTCACACAGAGTCGGACACGACTGAAGTGACTTAGCAGCAGCAGCAGAGAGTAGTCAAATCCGCGGAGACAGGACGGAGGTTCTAACCAGGGGCTTCAGAGAGCTGGGGATGGGGGTGGCGGCTTAATGGGTACGGGCTCAGTTTGGGGTGAAAGAAACACTCCAGAGACAGACGGTGGTCGCACAGCAATGTGGATGCCACTGAACTGTACATTCAGGAAACGTGAAAAGAGCACATTTTGTTATATACAGTGGTAATGAACCTGCCCACTGACACAGGACACTTAGGTTTGAACCCTGGGTAGGGAAGATCCCCTGGGGAGGTCATGGCAACCACTCCAGTATCCTTGCCTAGAGAATCCATGGACAGAGAAGCCTGGCAGGCTACAGTCCAAAGGGTTGCAGAGAGTTGGACATGACTGAAGCGACTTAGGACTCATATATATTTCACCAGAATTAAAAAAAATTAAGAATAGTTCTATCACATTGCCTCCATAAATTTTGTACTGAAACAGCTGTATGGAATCATTTTTAAAGTCTGAAGTTACTTTGAAGAACACAATTTGACCACTAAGTCAAAAGCCTCCTAGTTTAATAATGTAGGCAGGAAAATGGAATCTGAATTTCTATCCGAGGACCAAAGTTCATTGACTCATCAAATATCTACTAATTAAGCTTTCTGCCCCTCCTCCCAACACTGAGTCCCAGCAGGTATCACTGCTATACAGTCATTTAGAGTAGGTTTTAAAAACTAGAAAATTTTAAATGTTATTAATTTACCCAAAATTGAATCTCATGTCTCAGGGCTACAGAGACCCCAGCAGGAGCTGCTGTTGGTCCCCCGCCTCCTCGCCCAGCACTCATGCGCTTGACTGTGTGCAGGCAAAGGCACCACAGACCCTAAGAGCCACCAGTCTAACGGGGTCCTGCAGGAAGGGACAGTGCCCGCGCTCTCTACTAAGTTCAGATTCCCATGCAAATGCAAGTCAGATGACACGTGACACGCAAGAATCAGCATTTTAGGAAAAGGGTCAGGACCAAGTGGAAAATGGGAGAATTCTTCTCTGCTGGGAAGAAGATGACAGATTTTAAAACCCTAAGCTGGCAAAAACATGCGCAGGAACAAAAACAGTCCTGCTTTGTGTGTGCCCTCTCCTTCCTACTGAGGTAGCTCATCTGAGTTCAGAAAGCTTCTTCTGACTTGTGGCGTGCTCCTGGTTAACTCAAATCCTCCTGTCATGTAACGTATCTTGCTTATTCTAAAAGACTACTCAGACTTCACTTTTACACATGCAGATCCATTACAATTACTAGAGATCTTTTAAATGTGAGAAAAGTCTGTGAAACACTCAAGTTGACTGGGCAGTTCCAAGAAGACCCTTCTTTGAGAACACATCATTAGAGCAAAGATCACGCGGGTCTCAGGTTACTTTAACAAAGGTCTAACCTGATAAGACTTTATTCCAGCACATCTACCAATGTTCTATAAATTTTCTCTTGTCCTTTGATGAAGACTGCACATCTTAAAATACCAAGACATTCTAAGAAAAAAGGCAAAAAAAAAAAAGCAGAAATTTTTTTTTATATTAAACTTACTAATGTCAAATTTTTACACTCATCAAATCAGACTGAGAATTTAACCTCAGTATATGACAACAACACCCTATGAAGTTTTTGTGGTAAAGACAGCCCAAAATCCTGTGCCTACTCCTCCTGCTGAAATGTGGGTATGTCCCCAGCCAGTGGATCTGGACCAACTTCAGAGACAGGCCTAACCAGGAGGATGGGATGGAGAGCCATTCTGGAGTGGCTGAGATAGGTCATAGAAGCCCTGCCGCTGGACCTCTGGGAACCCTTGCTCACGGACCCCAGGCCTCCAGGAAGAGCGGTTCCCCAGAGACACCGCGCCAGAGACCCACAGAGAGAGGCGAGGCAGGGGAAGCCGGCAGCCACCAGCTGTGTGTCCCGACAGTCTGCAGCAGACACAAGTCGCTCTCTCTGTTAGCTCCCTGTCTGAATTCCTGGCCCACAGAATTATGAAATATAAAACGAAGAAAAAAATGGTTGTTGCTTTAAGTCACTAAGTTTGAAGGTAATCTGTTACAGTTCTACATGGTAAATTCTCTTTAAATAACCAGGGTTGTACCTCAAGTATATGCTATTATCTAAGCAAGATTCATAGAAAGTCTTTCTTTGACTGTCAGAAAATGATTCACTATTAGAAACACTACTGAGATGTCAAATTTCATCTATTTTGGTAGAAGAGGGAAGAAGCTGAGGCAAAGTTAAGAACTATTTACTGTCTGTCTCTTCAATTGAGAAGATGTGGGGGAAAGGCAGACATCTGTCTCATCTTTCCTCAGCGAAAACAGTGTAACCCAACCCAAAGGAGAGCCCTGAATCAACCTAGCGCATCTGATGAAGGGTAAGTTCTAGTGGAAGAGAAACGTGGACACCAAATGTATTAAAGTTATGCTGCAAAGAACAAAACCTACCCAACAGGGCAGAAAGGAGGGAGACCAGTGAGTCAACAGCTCAGAAACAGCATGCCATGATTTCTGCTATGACCGTGGACTCACTTCCTATGTAACTTACTGTTTAACTAGAAACGTGTGAAAAAGATGATTCAGCAAGACAAGTGTGGCAGATTCACTATGTTAAAAGTGTGGGTAAATGTGATCTAGTTGCTGAAAGTGGGGGAGGCGCCAAGCTACGCACTGACCTCGTGTCCACAGCCGGCCACCGCAGCCCACAGCCCAGACCCGACCCCCATTTCTTCCCACTATGACCCGGGTGAGCTGAGGACGCCACCTGTGTGACCACAGCAGGCGTGGCTGGAGCTGGGTGGTCAAATAGGATGGAGGGGGAAACTTGAT